AAAACTTAATAAACAAAATAACACATACACATAACTACAAGACGCCACGCTTGATGCCGTCATACTATATTGAAGATTTACGATCCCACAGTAAAAATGTATGAATAATTAAAAGTACCTATGTAGGTCCTTTACAGGTCACTTATTGTCACCGTAAAATTGTGAATTCCGTCAGATTATAATCTGACGTAGTTAAATTACAATCTAACCTATCCTAACCCACTGTTAGTTTACAATCTAACGCGTTATATTATAAACTGACAGAGTTCACAATTTAACGTTGTCATATACATATCAATAATACCTATACCTTCAGAAGAATCTCTATATATCCATTAGTGCTGATTATGTTCAGCAGTGGACGTCTTATGGCTGAAATGCTGATGATGATGATACATGATTATAGTAATCATGACTCTACGTTACCTAAGGGATGTAATTGATTAACGAGAAAATAATATTTTTCTCCACCGACTTACAAGTTATAGGTAAATATCGATAAGTCTAATCGTTTTGTGATTTTCGCCGAGCCAATATTGTAATTTTGGCGTATACTTATGACTAGCCTTTTTATCACAAAACCTAAATTTCTGATTTGGGAAATCCATCATTTCTCGAGTAAGAAATATGAATAGGTATTAGATTAAGCTTCAATCTACGAAATATAGTTTTTTTGATACAAAGTTTCTATGATATTAATTTTTCTTGAGTCGCTTGCAGGAATTTTTTTCAAACATTTTCGTGTTCTACACGCCTTGCTCCGTTGATCTCCGTAATGTATAGACATAAGTCTAAACACTACTTTATAGCTTACCTCGGAAACTAAATGCCTAGAAAAGGGAACGAAATTTGTTGCATAAATCAAGGCAACAAAAGCTTTACACCTTTAGTAACAGCTTAAACTACGAAATAGGTACTCAGAAACTTTGACAATTTCATTCACAACTTCAACAACTGTTCTGACACAGAAATATATAAGTTACAGTTAATAAACTTGGACAGAACGAATTAATGTCCCGGATCTTTATTGCAATCCTAACAAATCTTGCCGTTCGGATTATTTGGGACATTGAGAAGTTCTTGATGATGGAAGATAATTAAAATCTGGTCATTATTTGAACGAGCGTTATGAAATTTGTGAAAGTAAATTAATGTTACGAGCTGTCCCGGCGAGCTTCGTTCCGTTAATAAAAAAATATCTTAATTTATCGATAAAATCGCAGTATTAATTTCTGAACGTAATACTGTTTGAAACCTATAGCATTTGACAATTTCATTAAAGGAAAGGTTTTTAACCCAAAAACGTTTCTTTAGAAGGATCCAGAGTCACTTCTTCAAAAAATAGATAGTTACGCTTGAGCCAACTTTTATGGCTATAAAACTGTTAAGTTGGGATTAATCGCTATCCATCTGTTAAAGAGGACACGTGTGATCATTATTTGGTTTTATAACCATAAAATTTGGTCTAATTGATCCCAGAGGTGAGCCCAAAGTGAGGTCTTTTTTCAAGTCACATTTATGGTAATGTTAATCATTTATTAAGAAATAAAATGTGTTTTTCTTTAAGGATATTTTTTGGGCTTTCAAATAACACCAATATTGTTGGGGCACCATTATTGTGTCAAAAGAAAATCTTTAAAGTTCGCGTCGCGGGTGGTGCGATTTATTTTCTGTCGAGTGTAAATGTGTGAGAAAAACATTTGGAACCTAACGGTGCGGTGAACGAATTTTTCTTCAAATCGAGCCTATTCCTTCGTAACAAACAAACAAACAAATCTTTCCTCTTTATATTTATAGATTACAAATACGGCCGCGTAACTGACTATGATGTTAGAATACGATAGTTTGATTCCCGAATGATACATACATTTGCGTACATTTCTGTCTAATTTTGAAACAATATTTATTTTGCAAAAACGTGCGATAAGATACTTGTATAAAATGAAAGCAAGAGCATCCCTTAGAGAATTGTTTAAAGAAATTGGCATTCTCACGGCCGCTTCACAATACATCTTAAACTGTATTCTATTTATTCAAAAAAATATTACTGAATTCAAAAAGAAAAGTGATATTCACCAAATTAACACTAGAAATAAAAATAAATTGGCTATACCCGCTTTTAGACTTAATAAAGTGTTTGCCACTTTTATGGGACAAGGTATCCATTTTTATAACAAAGTCCCTGATAAATATAAAGAGCTACCGTATAATAAATTTAAAGATATAGTTAAAGATCACATGCTTAAAAAAGCCTATTATACAACTCGAGATTTTCTTAATGATAAGTCATCCTGGGAGTAGGATTATGGTCCTCTCATGCTCGCACTAAAAAGAATTAAAATGAAAAGTAATGTATAAACTAATAATAATTTCTCAAATGTTATAGTGTCATGCTTCTCAATCTGGACTGTTACTTAGCTTTATTATTAGTTTTTTTTTTTAAAGAGATAACTTGGAATTGTCATTCTCACTAAAATGTCTCTGGGGTGGTGGCGTAGTGAGGCGGGTCGTTACATTCCCTCTAATATGGTCGAGTGAAGCGATGGCTGGTTCACTCGTCATGTCTGTGAACAGGCGCTGCTTTCGGGGACTGGTCAATCCAAGTTATTCAAATTTATGTATGCGAGTCATTTCTACTAGTATCTTAATATGTAAGTCTAGATATTAGCACGTCACTACCTTGTTTAATATACCACGCAATCTTGTATACCCATTCTTATAAGATACACCATACAAGAATGCATGGTAAATTCAGTGAACTGCTCCTGAATCGAATGTACCTACTACTACTATTTCTATTTATTTATATTAACCGGCAGACAGTGGTGACTGAGTTTGTTGCGGCGCTTCTTCTCAGCACTTGCCAAATGTTGGTCTCGAAGCGCTGGTAGGGTAAAAAGATTATGAGACATGTAGAGGCTCCTTAAGAGCAAAATGACGATTTGTAAGAACTATTTATTAGTCCAAACAAATAAAGAAATTTTGACTTTTGACTTTTTTTGACTTTTTTTTGACTTTTTAATGAACTGGGTAAACTAAAAGTATATAATAGAAAAGTATTTGAGTATTATTCCATTGATGATACAAGTTTTGCCTAATTTAGACTAGATGGCGCAGTGCTTAGTTTAAGACTAGGTGAGTATACATGTAAGGATGAAACTAGCTAGGATGTACTTGGTGAAGCTAGTTAGATGGAAGCTGAGTTATATGGGAGGCAAAATGGAATATTCTGTGTTTCACATTAACATGAACTTTCAAAGCTCGATTCAAATTTAATTTTAGACTTAAGCTTGAAACCATTTCATCATTTACTTACATAATTGACTAAAACTTTCTATTTATTAGAGAATAAATTTTATAAGCTTGTATATTTAGATCAATCTTAAATATTTTTTTGATAAGGTTCAAGCGTCTTTTCATAATACCTTAGCAGTATCAATGTATATAGTGTGTTATTTATATGTCTGTATACTTGATCAAACGAAAATTTTATTGTTTATTTCACAACTGAAATGCGACCATTTTTATAAGTGACCGAAGTTCAAATATAAAAAGAAAATACCTCTCCATACAAATTATAATCAACAATCAGTCATTTATTATGTGGATATTATTTTGAGAATGAAATATTGATCTTATATTTTATGAATAATGTAGTTGTATTTGAGTAGTAGAATCAACTTTTAGATGGATCAATTATAAAAAACACCCTGTATTTTTGCACATACATCCTAAGATTGGGTAAGTTATTTGGTTAGATGAACGTCTACAATCTACTTTGCTATTCATTGAGGATTTCAATACCAGTACTGAGAAGGACTTCGAAACATTGTTTGTACAGGTAATTCCCAGCAATTCCCGGGAAGTTTGAATTCTCGCAAAGGACATTGTCAGAAACCGCCTAAAAAACCGCCCAAAAACATTAACCCATCATAATTATTTTCTATTTTTTTTAATACATTAAGCACCCTTTCATTCTAATGGACACTTAAGCATTGAAAAATTAAATAAATAAGTCTTTTAACGTTTATTCTATAATACTATTACAACTTCCGGACGTTTTGGTGCGTGGCATGGTCTAAAACCTATCAAGTTCCATAATTTTTGCCGATAAAATCTGTACGAGGCATTACCGTACTTTATTGCTGGGAGTCCATGTATAGTGATGTTCCTGCGGCCATCATAGACAATAAAATATCGATTTTGAAAATAAAATAAATCGATTAAACTGCTTTGAAGACTAGATAATATGTAGGTATTTTATAAAAGTGGAACCCCGAGTGATCTCCAAAACCCATTCTATTATTATATACGATTCGGCTTCGATATCTATAATACAATAGGAGTTTATTTCATGTGTCAGATGACAAGGGTGGAAACAACCTACGATTCATGTTGTTTATTTACGTGCAATATGTGGGCATATTATAAAAGTGGAATGCCGAGTTGTATTCCTAAAACTTGTTCTATTATTTTATACTATTTGGCTGCGACTCGGCGTGACGACAATACAAAACATTTTTAGCGAATCGGTGTTCATACATTCACTTAATACATTAGACGCCATGTTGTCATAAACGACATATTATAAAATCGCTGTGATTTAATATTCTTAATCATTAATTTTATGGCAAGTGTCCATCAGGAATCATTGTTCTTACACACAGAATCGTATTATTTCGCTTTCGGGTAGTAATATGTCAAAATTGTTGGTTCTTTAGGCGAACAATGTATGGAGAACGAACATTGTCCTTTCTTAAATTATTTGGCTTTAGTACGCTATTGTTATTGTTTCTGATTATGTACCTGATTATTTTACGGAACTCTGCAGAACTTGATACCATGAACTGGATGAAATTAAGTATGAAAAATGACTATTTTTATAATTTGAGCGATAAATTTTAAAGTTTGCGTCATTAATGTAATTTATTCCATTTGTTTGACATTCAGAGGAAAAGTCTGCATGAATTTGAAAATGAGCAAAAACAAATGAAACTCACCATAAATCATGGAGACGATCAGCAGAATCGCGTTCAAGACATGAGAACGCCTCTTCATAATTTTCAAACTTCCAGCCATTTTTCCTAATCTTCTATAACACCATTAAACTACTGTTTAATTTGACACTCTTCTTCTTTTCATCGTCACTTAAAATATCACCACTTATTTACGTTTCCTATTTGCCTAAAATAGTCTACTATCTCCTAATTACTAAATAGCTTTGAAGCATCTTGTCACAAATTATCTACTTTGACAACTCTACCTGTTACCACTAAATCTGTCAACATTTATTCTACTTCGTAATTAACGCGCTGACAAATACCCAACGGAGTTTGGTCTTTTAAATTAATGACACCCATATATTAAAAGTTAGTTAGCGCGTCTATTTTTACTTTTCTAAGGGGTCTCATTAAGTGTAATCCCAATCTTTTTCAGCGCAACCCTTAATATTAGTTTGAGAAACATATTGAGCACGGTGTTAAAATAAGTTAAATGTTTTGTTTTTTGGCATAAATCCGGTGGTAAATTTCCCTTTGGCACCCCATTTGATTAGCACACACACACAGCTTTGTCGGTTCATAGTTTTTTTGGACACGTTCTGTCACTGTCGTAGTCAGTTTTCGGCATTTCGTGTTGAGGAGCGTAGCCGGGGCACGCACGTCTGCTCGGCTGGAGACGACTCGCGGCACTGGAGCCGTGGCTTACATAAGGGATCGCCTTTGCCAGCCGGGTGGCGAGCGACAAGGACAGAACACATCCCCGTAAGGGTTGCAGGTTGTGCGGCACCCAGCCGAGAGGGATGGAAGAGATTCGCATTCGTTGGAATCGTGCTGAAATCTTGTGTGAAGAAGCAATTAAATCCGAAAGAGATACTTTAAGGGCATACACCTGTGATAATAAGTGTTTAATCCGCCGTAAACGCATAAACACTCTTAATTGTGGGAGATTGCGCGTTCCATTTTGATTAGCAATTACGGTACTCGTTTATGTCGCGTTTGAGTTAATAACCAGTTACCTTTGCCTGTCTTTAGCACTCGTGTCATTAAATTATAACACAACTGAGTAGATATAGAGCCGTTATGAGTATATTGACCTATGAAAAGCGAGAGTTCATGGAGCTATCCGAGCTTAATACTGAAAAATGTCTACTAGAACTTTTATTTGACTAAGCTTAGATTTAGATGACTTAAACCAGACATTAAGTAGATTTACCTTTTAGATGGACTTTACCCAATGTAAATAGTAATCTTATGTAGGTATGATAATGGAATTAAACTTAAACCCCCTTACTAATAAAAAGTTACACAGTTGTTGAACGCTGTTTTAAAATGACATTTCCATACTAAACGTCACTTTAAAACACTGTTCAACGAGCGTGTAAGTTTTAGTAGTAAGGGGGTAATAAATAAATAAATTATCAATTTTGAAAAAATGTAAGAACTTTAAAAAAATATAGAGTTGCGATTGGTAGTTGGTAGAGATAGGCCAGAGAAAAGACGGTGCGACAAATTTAACCAAACTGACTGACATGAAAATGGAAGTGATTGGCGATGAATAGACAGAAATCGGTGGTAGAGTTTGGGAGTGACATTTTCCCAGTAGAGAGATGGTATAAAAAGATAAGTAAAAACTCATACATTTCACTGCTTTCATTACAATAGTGACTGAGTTTCTTGCGCTGCTTCTTCTCAGCACTGGCCCATTTATTGCCCTGAAGCAGTGGTAGGGTTAATACTGGGACGTGTAAAAGTGCTTTTTAAAAGCCTATTTGCATAAATAAATGAGTTTTATGAGTTTTTTCTTTATTGAATTTAATAAGTAGACGGTAAATGTACAGTCGCGGAATGAAAAGGTTCGTCACCTTAGTGTCGGTTTTCGCTTGCACTAGGTACTGTAAAGAGTCAAACCTGCCAACATAACAGTGCAAGAAACAGTGCTGCTAACATTTAAATAAATATGACGTTTGCTAACGAATAAGGTTTTCTATCCCATCAGCCCCCCTAGACAAAACGCACTTTTTGATCGAATCGAAAATCGAATTCGTCAAAACTCCATACAAAAAAGGGGCTTTTCGACCACTTTTCGACTGGTTTGCGATTATAATTTGCACTTTGTCTAGACCCACAGTGCAATGCAATGATGACATTGACCAATTGACAATAGTTTTTTTTATTTCTTAAGAAATAATAATGGCAGGTTGAACCAACAAGAAAGTTTTAGTTTATCAATCATAATAATCTTCTTGACTAGATAAATCAAACAACTTTGATCTGAATAATTTTGAACTTCACTAACGAACAGTTAAAGATTATTTTCTCTAACTCGAGATTATTCTGTAACATACATAGTTTCAAAAGGTAATATGTGCTCGCGATTCGTTGAAGGAATCAATTTGAAAACTGACGAACCTTTTCATTCCGTGACTGTACATGTCTGTTATTTAGACATCTACCTTGAAGTAACTTTGAGACTATGTATGTAGACGTATAATAAGGTACACCTAATAAATAGGCAGAACTTCTAAAATTAGACAAATAATCAAATGAAAACCTAGCCCGCAGCTCCTTCAATATCTTTAGTCTGAAACAAAAACCAAGACTAGTCTGGTGTGCGTTGGACTCATGTTCTAAAGGTTTCGTACATTTTCATAATAAAATAGCGCAAATAAATTCTAGGGTATTGTGAGTAGGTAATTGATTAAATACATTTTTAAGTACCTACCTATGTTAATTGAAAGTTAGTGGTGATCTTACCTGTAAATAATCCTGACATTCTTATTTAACTTGTTTTTGTTGCGTATAATTGTAATCTTCCCCAAGACTATGAGAATTTCTGTTCTGCGATGTTTTTTAGTTTACCCACGGTTTCCTTAAAAGAACAGAACCGTTTGTATGGATTTTCCAAAATGGTTTTGTAAAAATTTGCAAAGAAATAGTTTTCATTTGATACTTCAAATGTATCAAAATTTTACGGGACCCTAACAACAAAAGAATCTCCGACCCGTATTTACAAATTACTTGTCTTGGTAATTGGCAAACTTAGCAAAGTAAGGCCCTGAGTATGTCAAGCGTCACTTTTAGGGCTGTATTTGTTGTCCCTTTTCAAAGACCTTTATTTAATGAAAGGGCACTTTATTAAGCTGCCAATTGACAAACGTACTGAAAAGCCCAACCTTTTAAAATGGGCGTGTCATTGTCAGTGACTGTGAATCTAATAGTTATTAAATATTCTGTCATCATCATCATCATCAACAACCTTTTACAGTCCACTGCTGGACTATGAGCCTCCTCCACTAAGTGTTTTGCCATAATCTCCACGCTTGGCAAACGGGTTGGAGATCGCAGTTAAAAAGATTAGTGTTTATCAGAGTGCGCTGCTGCCCGTTCTTTGTTGAATGTGAAGACCCTAAGTCGCCTCTATATTATTGTATTATATTCTGTATTACTGTGAATTGAAACGAATGAACATTCAAATTCACGTGAATTATGTTTTATTATTCAGCCCCACGTAAATGCACCAAATAATAGCACACACAATTTATAATACTTTAGTAAGTAAGTACTGTGAATTTTTATTTAACTTTTGCATGCTAATAATTTTAGCTAAACATGTATAGTTCTCACTGTCTGTACCTAACATCTTTATACCATGTTTAATTGCAAATAAAAAAAAAATAAAAAAAAAAAAAAAATCATGTCGTGTCATAAAGAAGATAACGGCTTGGATGCACGCACATTGCACCTATTGTAGTTTTTTCCACACTTTTATAATTATACTTAATTCTACAAGAAAATCAATACTATCTTAAGGAATAGGGGGAGTTCCCTCGCCGGGAACTTATAACTTTATGTGTTCATACTTTATTGTTCGGTGCGGCGATTTGTCGTGCACTTTTCGTTCGTTCGTTCGTTTAAGCCCAATGACATCCACTGCTGTAAAAAGGCCTCCCCGAAGGAATCCCATAACGACCAGTGGATACGGGCAGCGATCCAGGTACTTCCCCAACACACGTTTATGCCGAACTTATCTCACGCAGACCCATTAATACAAAATTTTACTTCAAATGAGGTATAGTTCTTGCAACTCACGAAGGCGACTGAGCTTTACTTGTGTGTGTACATGTAAATGCACATAACGATAGTGTAGGGTCTATCAAAACTTTTAAAAACGAACACTGGCGAGCCACCAGACATGTAAAGCTCACTCGCCTCTTGAATTGCAACAACGGTAACTGTAAGTTGTTTATTACCGGAAAAAACAGTCACACTTTTGTATCAGATCAGAATTATTCACAACTCTTGACACAATCAGCTCAACCCTTCCAGCGATTGAGATGCTTGAAACAGGATTAAGCGGGACAAAGGCGCCGATCCGGCTAATCGGGTAATCTAAGCTGACAATCCGGGTGTTGTGATTATTCTATTACTAGCTTTCCGCCCGCGGCTTCGCCCGCGTGGAATTTTGTCTGTCACAGAAAAACTTTATCGCGCGCGTCCCTGTTTCAAAAACCGGGATAAAAACTATCCTATGTTCTTTCCCGGGACTCAAACTATCTCTATGCCAAATTTCATCAAAATCGGTTGCGAGGTTTAAGCGGGAAAGCGTAACAGACAGACAGACAGACAGACAGACAGACAGACAGACAGAGTTACTTTCGCATTTATAATATTATATATAATATATATAGTTGGGATTTTACTTTTCTGATAAACTGCCGCGATTGGGTTAAGTCTAGGTGAAGTGAGTGAATTGAGCGTTTGGAAAGGTGGGAATTTTGGCGCGTTCTGCTAAAGGTTGGCTTAGCGTTGACGCAACTTTTCTACTTTGTGAAAGATCTATGAAGGGAGCGGTGAACGTCCTATGACTGAAATGATGATGATGATGATGCAGCTTTCCCAGTGATCATCGTAGTTGAGCAACCGACGCCGCGGTCTGAATTGGGATGGGTGGTGCGAAGGTGTTTTGTATTTTTACTTTATTATAGCTACTAGCTTTTGCCCGCGGATTCACCCGCGTGAAATTTAGTTTGTCACAGATCGTCATAAATTATAGCTTACTAGCTGACCCGGCGAACTTTGTTCCGCCTTAATGGCAATAAATAACGGGATAAAAAGTATCCTATGTCCTTCTCCTGGCTCTAAACTACCTCCCTGACAATTTTCAGCTAAATCAGTTCAGCCGTTCTTGAGTTATAAGTGGAGTAACTAACACGACTTTCTTTTATATAATAGATATATAGAAGATATTATGTTATTCTGGGTTATCCCAACTAATATTATAAATGCGAAAGTAACTCTGTCTGTCTGTCTGTCTGTCTGTCTGTCTGTCTGTTACGCTTTCCCGCTTAAACCTCGCAACCGATTTTGATGAAATTTGGCATAGAGATAGTTTGAGTCCCGGGAAAGAACATAGGATAGTTTTTATCCCGGTTTTTGAAACAGGGACGCGCGCGATAAAGTTTTTCTGTGACAGACAAAATTCCACGCGGGCGAAGCCGCGGGCGGAAAGCTAGTAAACAATAATACTGTAAAGTTTCATCAAAATAGAGTAAAAAACATCCAGACATCCAAACTTTCGCAATATTAGTAGGAAGTAGGATATTAGTAGGATGAGCTTCACTATGCCCCAAAAGATACTTTCTATCAGTTCATTAACGGCTTGAGTCCCAGACGGCATT